GAAAAGGTGGACCTTTCTTGATTCCCAGTTTGCCCCTGAAGAAGAAAGGTCCACCTTTTCGAAAGCACTCAGGTTGTAGGGTTTTTATTAATTTCTATATGTTGAGCCATTTATTCTAAAATGAGGTATAAAACTTGTAGGAAAATACTGTTGGATTTATTTCATCACTGAGCTGATCAGTCACATTTTGACAGCTGCATAGAGCTGTTCTAGCCACATGTCATGATGTAAACAGACACAATATCTTTGAGATGAAAATACTTTGATTCTGAAAACTGAACATTTTCCAGTTTTGGCAGGAACTTGGCTGGTTTTGTGTGGTCAATAATATGGTTATTTACTAACTTAGTGAATATGATGATCGACTACTTATTGTTCCTAGGTGACAAACCAGAATAGATAATGCCTTTACTGAGGAGAAACAATGGATTTTTCACAGGAAACAATGTACCTGAAAATATCCATATTTTTTACCCAAACTTGTTCAGAATCACTCTGAGAAATGGAATTACTTGCACTATGCTCCCTGAGATTTCAGTTTCTTATTTTTTCCTTTGATATACCTGTTTAAAATATATTATCTATCAGAATTTCTCCTTATAAGAATTGAGCAATTAAAAATTTTATTCAGTCTTGTTTAGTGTGAGTTGATTATCTTGAAGTTTGCTTGGTGTAAGGTTGAGCATCATTTTTGTTTTTAATTGTTTGTTGAGAAAAGTGAAGTTGTTAATAATCTTACATACAAGTATTTTCAAGCATGTATAAGTTGTAACCAACATTTTTAATATTGTTATTAACTTTGAAAATAGAGCTGGTTAAGTAGCTTATTGTAAAGTTAGTTTGAGAGAAACATTTCACTTTCAGAAAACATCAAAAATTCACATATTCTCTCAGTTTACTTTTGATAATGTAACAGTTTTTGTAAGAAATAAGTATTACAATACTTATTCCATGAAATTACTTTTAGTTATTCAGCCAATAAAAAAAATAGTGTCCTCTGTCAAGAAATCTCCAGTGGCAACAAAACCTACTGCTCCTGATGGACCAATTATAAAAAAAACTATCACCAGAACTCTTAAAAAACCTGCCGAGAAAAATGTAGAGAAGAAGACTGCTTTACCTTTAAAACAAGAGAGTAGAACAGTTACCATGAAGGAATCCAAACATGAAGCTAAACCACAAGAAAAAGGAAAAGGTAAAAATGAAGTTGTTGAAAGTATTTTTTTAACTGTGAGGTTTTAAATGAATATTTTCAGAGGAGAATTTTATTTACAGCTCCATCTGTATCATGTGATATATATATGCTTCTGCAGTAATTCCATATGGATTCATTATAGCCCAGTAAGATTAGATTGGAGTATGTAATTCAAACTACTTCATGATTTGCTATCTGTTATATATTCAAATTTTCTCAGTCTCAGCTCTTTTTCCAATACTGTTATGTTTTTACTGCGACAATAGTTTAGATTTTCCTGTTTACTTTCCTTATACAGTTATCTATTTTCCTAATTGTTTTTAAATTCCTAAGTCATCTTAACATTCTGCATGAGACTTAGAATGAAGTTTGAATGTAATAGAAATTTATCTATGGATGCATGGAAATTTATCTTTTTGCATAGTAAAACAAGTATAAAGCTAATGGTTTAAACACAAATGTAAGTAGAATAGTAGTGACATCTAATTTAAAAAAAAAGACTACTTTATATAATTTAGTGTTTCTTTAATATTTCATTGTATATCCTATGTAAGGATATTTGCCAAGAATATTTTTACTAGCTGCACCATGTCAATATAATTGTCTACTATTATTTTTAGAATTCAAAATACTAATTGTAAAAACTTAGGTAAAACAAAATAAATGAAAGGAGCTTATTTGAAACTGTATTTGTAATTAAACCACATTACATATATTTAAGATTTTAAGTTGTAAGTCTGTTAACAATTTAGGGGATGTTGATAAAATTGGCTGTGAAGAAATGTGTCAATATCAAATGTTTTTAAGCTACACCAGATATTAAGTGTGCGTAGAGACATCTGTTATATGTATATGTTGTGTTTGTCAAAATTTTTGCTAACTTAATATTGAACTATTCATAATACAAGCAAAACACCTGTGCTAAAGCTGTTCAGACAGTCCATGTGTGGATTGGTACAAGGTCCAGTTGCTAAGGTTTTCTCTTTGATATTGCGTTGTTTTTCATCTAGCATTAGTTGTTAAAGTGAAGACTCATGCCGCAGTAGAGAAAACAGAAGAAATCACTCCTAAGAATGAAGAAGTAGAAGTTGATGCTGACATTGACAATCTAAACGTGACCCTCAACTCTGATGAGCTGAATGAAGAGATGAGGGAAGAACAGAATGATACATACCAACCTGTTAGTCATGACAGTAATGCCAACAAGGAAGAAGTGGAGTCAAACAGTGAAGATTCTAGGTCAGAGTGCTGCTCATGTGAAGACCATGATGATGACGATCATAGTAGTGTTATAACTTCATCTGATTCTGAATCAGGATCAAAAGCTCACTCTCACTCAGGATCAGGTAAGAGAGAATTGCTTTTCTGTTAATTAAATTTTAAAATACCATAAATGTATTATGATGACTACTAGCCAACTCACTCTAAATTCCCTTAAAACCTAGAGAAAGAGAAAAAAACTTGACAAATAGTACAAAATATCAGGTGTAATTTAACAAAATTATTAGCTTAAGAATTAAGTCATACACTATTCCAGCGTAATAACTAACCAGTCTAGTTTAGTTTTACGCATTCTCATTTATGATTTTGAACTGTGACAGATATACTTGCAATTTTAGTTCCCATGAAAGTATTGGATCTGTATGAGATAAATTTTTTACTTAAAGGAATAAACTAGAATACTCATTTTGGTTTGAGCTTACTCATTGATTATAAGCATTTTTTATTACAAGCTACAACTTTTAAAGTGGGGAAGAATACTTTTATAAGAAGGTACAACATTTTAAGCACTGGTGCAATCATTTTCATGTACATTTGAGGGTGCTTAAGAATATTTGCACCAGTGATCGAAATGTCACCTGTATTAAAAAAATATTTTTCTTTACTGTAAAAACTATAACTAGTAATAAAAAACTATAATACTGTTATTAGTGTTTTTCTACAAATAATTCTGTTATTGTTACAGCAGTGTTTCTTGACTAGCTATCTTGAAATGTGTTTTTCAGGGTAATTTGGATTTGAAAGATAAAATAAACAAAGTTTTATTTGGATATATATTAAAAGTTTAATGATGAAGAAGACTCAATAAATTTAAACATGTGGTTTTTATAAAGGAGACAGAGAAGCACGTTTTCAATTGACAAATAATGCTTAGACATTTCAATCTAGCTTTTAACCATAGAATAGCATTCAGGCAATTGAACTATTTTAACAACACCTGAATTTATTTTAAAGAAGTAAATTATTTAATCTTGTAAAGAACCTTTTTCTTTTGTTGTTGTTGAGAGGGGGGGGGGAAGATTCTGAAAATTGTATTATCAGTATCACTAATTTTATTTATTCAGTATTCTAGGTTTATATGTGGCCTTACTAAAAATAGATGTTAAAGTTCTTGCTACAGGCTCGATCAATTTCACAAGAAAATTAACCCAAAATTCACCTTTAAAGTTTCTGTACTATAACTTCTAACATTTTTTTGTTTATCTTCACAAAATTTCTTATGCTTTCAGTAAGCATTAAAAGTAATTTATGAATAAAAATATAATTTTTAATGAAGTATTTTCTTTAAAAATTTCTCTATGAATATATGGAGTCAAAGTGTTGACTGCTTCGAGTGCATAGTGATTTTTACGTTAAGATTAGAAATACTTCTCTTCATCTGGAAAATCTCAAATTTCATTTGCATAAACTCTAAAACCTAAATGAATTTTAATCTTATATTATTTTTTTTTCAGTAAAATGTTATATTTTATCTGTTATTTTCTCTACCCTAACCATATATGAAGTTGGTCACTTTGACTGACTTTGTAACCACCAAAAAATTTCAAAATAAATCTAAATTATCCTTTTTTGACTTTTTAGAATGACTTTAAATTGTAACATGAAACAACATTTGTTTATACTTAAATGTTATTGTTTTATTGCCTTTTGTACCATGTCTAATTGATATTCCCACCATAAAATATGTAAATCACTTTGTGAACATAGAGCTAATGTTATCCTATTGAATTACATAACACATTTGGCTTCGTGCATGTTGCTTACAAGCGTACCTTGTGAAAAAAATTCTATTTTACCTATTCTAACCTTATCTAATCTAAAACGTTTCCAAATTTGACATGTGAGTTACTTTTATAAGAATAAATAAAGAACACGCATGAAAAACAAGAAATAAAATACTTACCTGGATCTTTCTTTTTTCGCTGTTGATTGTTGATGATACTTAACCCTACTTTTTTTTTACTAACAGTACTACTGCACTAAATGATTTTTTATTGAATTGAATATTGCACCAAAGAACACAGATTAAAAACATGCAAATAGCAAACAATGTCCCATGTCTAGCACAATTTTTCTGGATTTCTAACTATATGACAGGAGCTGTTCACAATTCAGCTAAACTCATTGATGTGTTTCCCAGAGGAATAAAGTTTGAACTGGAAGAGAAACAGATAATTCTGTGTACAAAAAGTAACATAGTATGATACATCATTTGATACATCATAAGTAATATAGTATTAAATGTCAGAGATCTATTGACAATTTGTGAATAAGAGGATGTTACAGGTGGGCATTGGAAAAGGGGCCTGATTTTCTATTTTATGGCTCTTTAACCAAATAAGATTGAAAGCTATAAAAATTATGACCAATTACAACATTATAATGAGTAATTTACATTATATTTTGTATATCTGGTAGGGGTGGTAAATAAATTATAAAAGATACCTAGATAGCAAATGTCACAATTCTCAAACTAGAGGAAATTTAGGATTTTGTTTTTTAAGTATTGCCTTATAAAATTAGAAACTACTTATATAATGTTAACAGTTGATTACTGGCTACATTTTTATGACAAATTTATGTACCATAATATGAGAGTAGTTTGAATTTTGAATATAACCCACTAAAATCTTGTGATTGTGCATAAAAAGATGATTGTAGCAAAAGTGCTTATTATAAGAAACAAAACACATTCTATTATGAAATTAAAGCTAAGTGTGCATTGTTGCAACACTTTTAAAAAACTGCTAGAACAATGTAATTTTTACTCTTAGAATAAGGATGTATCAAAAATTATAAACAGTAGTAATAACCCATCTGCCAATATTTGTGGAAGGTGTAACACTCATTCTAATTATTTTGTTTGATATGAAATTACCATTTTGATGCTATCTAGATGACTGTTATTAAAACAATTTCATTGAAAATGTTCAGCTTTACAGATGCACACGTCATGGTGAAAATAAACCATTTTAACCCTTTTTATATTAATGTGATAGCTTTGAATCCACAAATCTGTTTACCTGCATCTTTTACTAGTTTAGTTATATTTGTAATATGACTTTCATACTACAAAATCATCTATTATACAACATAATATTGTATTTGAATAGTGTTTTTAGTGTCAGAATGAAAAATTTGATTATATACATACTTTTATGTAGAGTTTGAAGATGTTGAAGAAAATAAATGTGATGTAGCAAAAGAGAAGCGTTCGCGAACGAGAAAAAGAACGCACTCTCCAATAGTTTATGAACAAAAGGAAGATGAGGGAGCTCGTAAGTTATGCCAGTAGCTATATGATATTGGTTATATAAGTTTATATTAGATGTGTACATGTAGATCTTTTTAGGCTTTAAGAGTGTATGGTTTTTAAACAAATGTTTACAAGTAACAGAAATTAGTATGTACACGTAATTAGCTTATATTGATGATAGTATACTTTATAGCAGTGTTTCCCAAACTTTTCGAACTAGGGACCGATCTATTTTTGTAATTTTTCATGAGGCCTGACCTCTTCAAATACCTAATTAGATAACCATAAGATGGCTAAGTCTTAACACCAAGCTGGAAACAATAGTTCTATCAATACATCATCGATTATAAAATATACAGGTATTTTATAGTACGACTGTGTAAAAAGAATAAAAAAATTATACTTCATTGTTATTTAATTTTACATTAACTGTATATTTATTAATGCTCTTTTAAGAAATAAACTTACCTAATGAGAAGGATGATGATGTTTTTCATCACACAGCAACTTCAAATCAGGAGGAAAAGAAGTCAGTTTAAATCTCAACTCAGGCTCGACATCTAATCTGTTCCTGTACTTGTTTTTTAAGAAAACCAACGTTGAGAAGCCCAATTCATATTTATAAGCCATGACAAAGGGCATAAGAAATCTCACTGCTTTTTCTGCTAAATTTGGATACACAGCACGATAGCTCAGCCAAAAATTAATTAACGAGACTTGACTAAAACGTTCTTTCAGTGCTATGTCACAGGACAGTTGATTAATAGAATCAATTTCTGATTCACTGAGTTGTAATCCTTCCTCATTTTCCTTGTTAACAGTAAAATTGTTCCTGATCCACATATTACTGCTGTCAATTGGAGAAAAATATTCCTTCAAGCATTATTTTAGCCCCAAAAGATGCTCTTTGATTGATGAGAAAATCTCATCTGTAATATTTCCTTCTTCATCTTGGTTTTGTAATTCTGTTAAGGTAGAGAAAGACATATAATTTCTCTTCCCGACTCAGTGTACCCACAAGTAAATTTATTTTTATAACTGCTTCTATCTTTTCCTGGACTTTTTATGTTATATTTATGTAAGCACCTTGTAAATTTGGATTTAACACATTTAAGAAGCCAAAAATGTCACATAAATAGGCTACTTTAATTAACCAATGCAATTTATTTAACCTGTATCTAATTTCAAATATTGCATCCTTTGCTGATAGGGGATGTTGCTCCAAAAACAAGATAACTTCATTCTTCATTTCAATGAGTCTTTTTTAGACATTTCCTTTTGATAACCACTGAACTTCACAGTGTTCACTTCCTAATTCTTTGCACAAAGCAGTAAAGATGCTATAATTCAATGAACGATATTTTATGTAGTTTATGAATTTAACACATTCTTGCATAGTTGAATTCAAAAGTAAGCATTTTCTTCACAGCTAATGCCTCTCTGTGAATGCTACAATGCACCCATTCACAGTCTGGTGCCACTGCTCAGATCCACTGGAAAACTTTTGTATGGGAACCCGCCATTAAGCGAGCACTATCAGTACTCAATTCAACATATTTTTTCCATTGAATACCACTTCAAATTATAAAATTATTGATTAAATTAAAAATTTCATCAGCCATTGTTCTTGTTGTAAATGGTTTACAAAGCAATAAATCTTCATGAATTGTGTTTCTATAATCATATCTTACAAAGCACATTAAATTGGCATTATCTGCTATGTCTGTGCTTTCATCCACTTGTCATGAAAAAAGAGTTTCTTCAATATTTTTTGCCATATCCACACTTTTATGCTTCACTGTATTATTAGATAGGGACAGTAAATTCAACTGATTTTCTTGTTTTTTATAAACACAAGATGTAATTATTTTTACTGCAGGAAGTATTAACGTTTCACCAATAGTATGCGGATAACCAGTCTCAGCTATTAGTTTTGAAATTTCATATGAGGCCATAACCTAGTCTTCATTGAAAGATCTCATGAAAAAAGTTATTTGTTTGGAAAAAAAAATTTCCAAACAACTTATTTATGAAAAAATCTATTGGCTTACTCAAGTATTCTGGATGTCTGGTATACAAGTGGCATTTCAGTTTTGATGGTTTCACGCTCTTATTTGATAATGTTCAACAACAAAGAACACATAGTTATTGCTACCACCACTTATAAAACCATACTTCAAATATTCATCACAATACTGTCGAGTCCAAGAGGTCTTTGTTTTCTTTTCTTTGATACCAAGCTGCACATCACTTAAACGTTTATAATTAGGCCTATTATTTTCACTAACTTCAGTTTCACTAGAACTAGGCTGCATTTGTGCATCACTTGAGGTTTTCTTGTGTGATGCATGTTTCTTCAGCCATCTATCCATACAGGAGAGAGGTTTTCTTAAAAATGAACAACTTAAAAAAATTTTAGTTAGTAAAAACAGTCACAATCAACTCTCTCTCTCTTCTCAGATCAAACTGATGCTTCTAGCACTGGCTACCAGCAACTTGTCTGCTGCCACCTGGCACTACCAGATGTAAAACTCAGGTCTCGCATGTCTGTCAATTTCCATTAACAGAGTAAGCAAATTTAACACATTTGGAATAATATTCCTAAAACTTTGGTGTCGAAGAATCGGTTAAATTGAATGAACAAGTGGTCCTTTTATGTGAGACAAAATCCCTTCTTTGATCTTATCTGCAGACAGGAGAAGATTGGCTTGGACTCAGCAGGGGGAACGTGTCTAGCTAACGTGTGGTTTAAATTTACAGCATTTCACAAGAATCTCGAGGTTATCAACACTGTAAAACTTAATCTTAGGCTCTCTAAATTGCACTGAGTGAGAGCACCTTAATTCCTGAGGGACTGAAGGAATAAAGGCAGCCATCAACTTGTGAATTCTATAGTTTCATAGCTTTAAGTACAAACTTTCACTTTTCCTTCCTGTTATATTAGCTGAGAAATTAAAGTTAGATGAAATGAAAATTTAGATTATGATGTATTTGAAAATATAATTTTATTAGAATATATTTATGTTAACTGGTTTAATTAAATTTTTCTTCAATATACAACAAGAGCTTAGAGAAAGTTTAAAAATGGCAGTTGGTAGTGAAAGGGTTAAAATTAATTTAATATAATTTTTTTTTAGTTTTCTGCAGACCAGTATCTTTTTTTTTGTTTCATCGACCACACTTTGGGAAACGCTGCTTTATAATATTATATACAGTGTTTTATATATATATAGCATAAATGTTTTAAATTTTCAGAATAATATTTGTTCAGTTTGAATTATATGATGTGTATATTAGAAGTAAAAACAGTCTTTCACAGAAGTAAAGGATAGAAAGTTAAAGATTCAGTTAAGAAACCAGACATTTTCCAATACATCTTACCTCCTCTCATATAATAGATTTCCTTGATTTGTGCTGCCCTCTATATGCACAATTTTCACTCACCCCTAGGCTTGAGACTCCCATCTAATCTTGTGGTATAGCATGTAAATGATCATGTGACAATCCTCCACCAATAGGAATGTGACACACCCTCGTAGCACTGCTGATTTTCTCTATAATGTAGAGTACAATCATCACTTCTTAATTTGGCATTCATTTTTGTACACATGCATTTTATTTTCACTAATCTCCACAGTGATTGTTGCTTTAGGTTTCGACAACTTATTTTCTGTTTTTTATTTACCTTTTTTTTTTCCACATTAATGTCACTTCTAATGTTCATGTCTTGGATGCTTACACATTCCTATTTCCTCTACATCCAGAAGTTACCTTTGTTTTGTTCATGAGGGTTGGATGTTTCAACTCCACACACTTCTGTTTGGTCTGGCATTGGCTCCATACTTCTTTTGTCGTGTAGTCAGAGCCTTTGCTCATCATATTCATGACTTAGGATTGTGGTTCCACCTGGGTGACTGACTGGCTTCTTTTGGTTCCATCCAAATAAGCCTCTCAAAACCATACCCATCTTTTTCTTCGGGAGGTGGCATGACTGGGATGGCTTGTCAAACCAGAGAAGTCACATTTCACCCCCACTCAATACCTTATTCATTTGGGGGTATTTTTCAATTCCTACCTCAGCAGGGCTTAGCCTTCTCCTCCATGATTGTGGGACATGAGCACTTGCTATCCAAAGCCACAACTTCTCATTCTCTCACTGCATGAGAGTTTATCTCTCTTTTGAGTACTTGGGCTTTCATGGAATCTCTCTTGCTTTGGGGTTGTGTGCATATGCTTTGCCTTCACTGGGTGTTGCATGATCAATGGAATTTTGCTCAAGATTCCTTGGGCTCCTCCATTCATTTTCTTTTGTCCCCACAGGTTGACTTTGTCTGGTAGCTCGACAGAGACAACACCTTGGCTGGCATTTCTCTTCCTCCTCATCAGGATCAATTCCAACAATTCTGCCATTGTCACTTATATCAGTTGTTAAGGGGGCACCTGGTTTTGTTTGCTTTGTTTTTGAACACTAGATTCCCATATCTAGGCCCAATCCAAAAAATTAAGCTTATTGTCTGTTACAGTTTGGGTGCTCTGGATCTTGTTATCAAGCATTTTTCTCATCCCAACAAGATTCTCCCAATGGAGCTTATTGTCTGTTACAGTTTGGGTGCTCTGGATCTTGTTATCAAGCATTTTTCTCATCCCAACAAGATTCTCCCAATGGAGTGTTCTCTCCATCATCAGGTGTTCTAGTGGTTATGCTCACAACTGGGTACTCTCTTTCTGGATGCTTTTGACATACACCTCAGTACCAAACTTCCTCTGTTCTGGTCCCTTGTTCTGCCTTATTCAGTTTTTGCTGTGGTTTCATTCAATTAGGATTGGTCCAATCTTTATCTGTATGCCCACCCTCCTGTCCTTCTTCTCCCCAGGGTACTTTCACTTATTCAAACAACTCCTTGTCAGGCCCTTCTTATTGCTCCATTCTGGCTGGCCCAATTGTGGTTTCCACTTTTGAATCTTCTCCAGTCATCTCATCCAGCGATATCCATGCTCTGTCTTCATGCATGGGGTTTGTCT